GACGAACACCTGAGAGCCGTGGTACTTCTTGTGCTGCTGCTGCTGCGCCAGGAGCAGCTCCGAGGCCCAGTAGCAGAACCCGATCACCGTGGCGCACTGCAGGACTGGGAAATGGGGAAAAAAGGGGAGAAAATGGTTAAAAACGTGGTTGAAATGGTGAAAAATGGGAAAAAATGGGTTAAATTTGGAGAAAAATGGGGAAAAATGGGTCAGGTTTGGGGTCTGGGAGCAGCTCTGAGGCCCAGTAACAGAACCCGATCACCGTGGCGCACTGCAAAACTGGGGAAAAACGGGGAAATTTGGTTAAAAACATGGTAAAAATGGGAAAAAATGGGTTAAAATGGGGAAAAATGGGGAAAAAATGGGTCAGGTTTGGGGAAAAATGGGTCAGATTTGGGGTCTGGGAGCAGCTCTGAGACCCAGTAACAGAACCCGATCACCGTGGCGCACTGCAGGACTGAGAAATGGGGAAAAAAGAGGAGAAAATGGTGAAAAACATGGTTGAAATGGTGAAAAATGGGAAAAAATGGGTTAAAATGGGGGAAAATGGGGAAAAAATGGGTCAGGTTTGGGGAAAAATGGGTCAGGTTTGGGGTCTGGGAGCAGCTCCGAGGCCCAGGAGCAGAAGCCGATCACCGTGGCGCACTGCAGGACTGAGAAATGGGGAAAATTGGTAAAAAACACGGTTAAAATGGTGAAAAATGGGGAAAAAATGGGTTAAATTTGGAGAAAAATGGGGAAAAAATGGGTCAGGTTTGGGGAAAAATGGGTCAGGTTTGGGGTCTGGGAGCAGCTCCGAGGTCCAGGAGCAGAACCCGATCACCGTGGCGCACTGCAGGACTGGGAAATGGGGAAAAAAGGGGAGAAAATGGTTAAAAACGTGGTTGAAATGGTGAAAAATGGGAAAAAATGGGTTAAATTTGGAGAAAAATGGGGAAAAATGGGTCAGGTTTGGGGTCTGGGAGCAGCTCTGAGGCCCAGTAACAGAACCCGATCACCGTGGCGCACTGCAGGACTGGGGGAAAACGGGGAAATTTGGTTAAAAACATGGTAAAAATGGGAAAAAATGGGGAAAAAAGGGGTTAAATTGGGGAAAAATGGGGAAAAATGGGTCAAAAATGGGTTAAAATGGGGGAAAATGGGGAAAAAATGGGTCAGGTTTGGGGAAAAATGGGTCAGGTTTGGGGTCTGGGAGCAGCTCCGAGGCCCAGTAACAGAACCCGATCACCGTGGCGCACTGCAGGACTGGGAAATGGGGAAAAAAGGGGAGAAAATGGTTAAAAACGTGATTAAAATGGGGAAAAATGGGTTAAAATGGGTTAAAATGGGGAAAAAATGGGTCAGGTTTGGGGAAAAATGGGTCAGGTTTGGGGTCTGGGAGCAGCTCCGAGGTCCAGGAGCAGAATCCGATCACTGTGGCGCACTGCAGGACTGAGAAATCATCAAAATTGGAGAAAAACATGGTAAAAATGGTGAAAAATGGGTTAAACTGGAGAAAACCCATGGTTAAAATGGGTTAAATTAGGGGGAAAAGGGTAAAAAGTGGGTGTGGTTTGGGCCGCTCGGCGGCCGTGGCCAGGATGGAGGCGCCGCCCGCGCCGGCCACCAGGTAAAAACTGACGGCGAAGGTGACGAACACCTGAGAGCCGTGGTACTTCTTGTGCTGCTGCTGCTGCGCCAGGAGCAGCTCCGAGGCCCAGTAGCAGAACCCGATCACCGTGGCGCACTGCAAAACTGGGGAAAAAAGGGGAGAAAATGGTTAAAAACGTGGTTAAAATGGGGAAAAATGGGTTAAAATGGGGAGAAATGGGGAAAAAATGGGTCAGGTTTGGGGTCTGGGAGCAGCTCCGAGGCCCAGTAGCAGAAGCCGATCACCGTGGCGCACTGCAGGACTGGGAAATGGGGAAAAAATGAGTCAGATTTGGGAAAAAATGGGTTAAATTGGGAAAAAAACATGGTAAAAATGGGTTAAATTGGGGAAAAAATGGGTTAAAGTGGAGAAAAATGGGGAAAAAATGGGTCAGGTTTGGGGTCTGGGAGCAGCTCCGAGGCCCAGGAGCAGAACCCGATCACGGTGGCGCACTGTAAAACTGGGGAAAAACGGGGAAATTTGGTTAAAATTGGGAAAAAATGGGAAAAAATGGGTTAAAATGTGGGAAAAATGGGTTAAATTGGGGAAAAATGTTTTTAATTTGTGATAAAACATGAGAAAAATGGGTTAAATTATGGAAAAAATGAGTTTAATTTGGGATAGAACATGATAAAAACAGCTTAAATTAGGGAAAAAATGGGTTAAATTCGGGAAAAATGGGTTAAATTAGGGAAAAACGGGTTAAATTAGGGAAAATGGGTTAAAACATGAGAAAAAACATGGAAAAATGGGTTAAATTGGGGAAAAAATGGGTTAAATTGGGGAAAAATGGGTTAAATTGGGGGAAAATGGGTTAAAACGTGGGAAAAAATGGGTTAAATTAGGGAAAATGGGTTAAAACATGAGAAAAATGGGTTAAATTAGGGAAAAAACGGGGTTAAATTAGGGAAAAAACGGGTTAAATTAGGGAAAAACGGGTTAAATTAGGGAAAAAACGGGAAAACCAAGAAATGGGGATTTTTGGGAATAAAGAAAAGGGAATTTTTTGGGGGATTTTTCCAGGATTTCTCCGGGATTTTTCCCCACCTGTGAGGATGTGGGCGAAGGCGTAACGCCGCGTGATTTTCAGGGCCGGGTGTTTGGGCCCGAAGACGTCGAGCAGGAAAGCGCCGAGGCTGCAGAGAATTCCCAGGAAGCAAAAAGCAGCAATAACCCGGAGGAGCAGCACGGTTTGTGGATTCATACAAAAATCTGGGGAGAAAAACGGGAAAAACGGGAAAAAACGGCGTTGGCGGGAGCGGAAATACGATTTTGCCGCGAAAAAACGGGATTTTTCCGTCAAAAAAGCCGCGAAAATCGGATTTTTTTTAGCTAAAATTGGGTTTTTTCAGCTAAAAAAATGGGTTTTTTGAAGGGAAATATCTCCCTAAAAATATGGTTTTCCATCTAAAAAATTCTGGGAAAATTCAGATTTTTCTGCTCTAAAAAATCCAGCTAAAAAATGGGGTTTTTGAAGGAAAAAATCTCCCTAAAAATCTCGTTTTCCACCTAAAAAAATCTGGGAAAATTCAGATTTTCTATCCAAAAAAATCTCCCTAAAAATCCGATTTTCCACCCCAAAAAAATTGGGAAAATTCAGATTTTTCTGCCCTAAAAAATCCTCTCCAAGAAAAAAAAAATCTCCCTAAAAATCCGTTTTTCAACCCAAAAAAATTTGGGAAAATTCCAATTTTTTGTCCCAAAAAATCTCCCTAAAAATCTGATTTTCCACCCAAAAAAATTTGGGAAAATTCCAATTTTTCTGCCCTAAAAAATCTCCCTAAAAATCCGATTTTCCACCCCAAAAAAATTTTGGGAAAATTCAGATTTTTTGCCCCAAAAAATCTGCCCCAAAATTTGATTTTTCAGGGAAAAAAAATTCCCAAAAAACCGTGATTTTTTTTCCTTTAAAATTCACTTTTCCACCTCGAAAATTTGATTTCCCACCCAAAAAAATAAAACCTCCAGGAAATCTCCCCAAAATTTGCTTTTTTTTCCCCAAAAAATTTTATTTTTCTTTTGAAAATAATTTGATTTTTCCACCCCCCAAAAAAATCCCTCAAAATTTGGTTTTTCCGAGCAGAAAAAATTTGATTTTTCAACCCAAAATTTTAATTTTTCTCTCCCGATCCCACCAGGACCAATGGAATTAATGGGAATTAATGGAAATTAATTAATGGGAATTAATGGGAATGAATGGGAATGAATGAGAATTAATTAATGGGAATTAATGGGAATAAATGGCAATAATTGGGAATAATTAGGAATAAATGGGAATGAACGGGAATTAATGGGAATAAATGGGAATAATTGGGAATTAATGGGAATTACTGGGAATAAATGGGAATAACTGGGAATAAATGGGAATTAATTAATGAGAATAAATGGGAATTAATGGGAATGAATGGGAATAATTGGAAATAATTGGGAATTAATGGGAATAAATGGGAATAATTGGGAATAACTAGGAATAAATGGGAATAAATGGGAATAAATGGGAATTAATTAATGGGAATAAATGGGAATTAATGGGAATAAATAGCAATAAATGGCAATAAATGGGAATTAATTAATGGGAATTAATGGGAATAAATGGGAATTAATGGGAGTAAATTGGAATGAATGGGAATTAATTAATGGGAATAAATGGGAATAACGGGGATGGGATGGAAGGGGTTGGACGGGGAAGGAGGGAGAGGAAGAAAGAGGAGAATGGAGGGGACAGAGGGGACAGGAAGGATCAGGAATGTCCAGGAAGGATCAGGAAGGATCAGGAAGGTTCAGGAAGGTTCCGGAATGTTCAGGAATGTTCAGGAAGGTTCAGGAATGTTCAGGAAGGATCAGGGAGGATCAGGGAGGATCAGGAAGGATCAGGAAGGATCAGGAAGGATCAGGAATGTTCAGGAATGTTCAGGAATGTTCAGGAAGGTTCAGGAATGTTCAGGAAGGATCAGGGAGGATCAGGAAGGATCAGGAAGGATCAGAGAGGATGAGGAAGGCTCAGAAAGGATCAGGGAGGCTCAGGAATGTTCCGGAAGGATCAGGAATGTTCAGGAAGGTTCAGGAATGTTCAGGAAGGATCAGGGAGGATGAGGAAGGCTCAGGAAGGTTCAGGAAGGCTCAGGAGGTTCAGGAAGGTTCAGGGAGGATCAGGAATGTTCAGGAATGTTCCGGAAGGATCAGGAATGTTCAGGAAGGATCAAGAAGGATCAGGGAGGATCAGGAAGGCTCAGGAATGTTCTGGAAGGTTCAGGAAGGAAGGCTCAGGAATGTTCTGGAAGGTTCAGGAAGGATCAGGAAGGTTCCGGAAGGTTCAGGAAGGATCAGGAGGGTTCAGGAATGTTCAGGAAGGCTCAGGAAGGCTCAGGAAGGCCCAGGAACGTTCAGGGAGGATCAGGAATGTTCAGGAAGGCTCAGGAGGTTCAGGAATGGTCAGTAATGTCCAGGAAGGATCAGGAATGTTCAGGAATGTTCCGGAAGGTTCCGGAAGGCCCAGCCCGGCCCAGCAGGCCCCGGGGCTCACCGCGGAGCAGCTCGGGTTT